TGCTATTTTAGCCATTGGGGCTTTTTTGCGCAAAACAGTACTGTGCTGTCTACACTGGCCCTCTTGCGCAAATGATTTGCGCAAGAGGGCTTTTGTCCGAACGGGAGCAGCATATAGTATTTCCGCAAGAAGCACTGATTTCTTACAGTAGGAAGTCAGTGTTCTTGCAGAAATTCAAGCAGCCAGTGTAGACAGCTGGCAAGTTTTTCCGCAAAAGCAGCTGATTTTGTGGAAAAACTTGCCAGTCTAGACACAGCCTATATGTTTTGTTGTCTATAAAGTGCTACCAGACCATTTGTGGTTTTTTTTTAAAGTTTAAATTATACTTGATGGTTTCAAAACTGCAAAGAAACATGATGCCCTCTTGAGGCCATTGGTAGATAGATTCCAGTGCAGCATTCAGAAATGTTTTGGTGAAATAATTGAGGATCTGGAGCTAACAGCAGCAGACATCTTGATGCCAAATGTTAGGACCACTTGGAACAAGCATGAAACTGGGATTAGAAAATGTAAGAGACTATGTCATTTTAGACAAATGAAACTGCAAAGAAGCTTGAAGGGTATTTGGCCTCTTCAGGAGAGACCATGGATCTGCTGCACTCTTTTCCTAGAATTAGGGAGCTGTGCACCAGGGCCAACAGACCTCTGTCTCCATAAGCTGCCTGTGAGAGATTCTTCCATGTGATGGACTCATATTTTTTCATAGAAGAGCAAGGATTGGTATGCTCCTACGGCTGAACAAACATTTTGGAAATTAATCATTACAATGGAAAAAAGCACACCGTGAAGGTAGACAAAACAAATACATTTCTGTAATCTGGCTTGTATTTAATTTGTCCCTCTTCATCTTTATAAATGAAGGCAGTGATTATTGTTAAATTCCATAATTGAAAAATGTATAGTATAGGTGTGCATATAATATAGAATTCTAAGTGTTTAGAGAGAGAGAGAGAATGGTGACCTGGAAGAACTCGGATGGTTAAGCAAAGGGTTCCATAGGACAATTAATTTTTTTTTTTAATACTTAAGTACAATTAAGATAGTGAAAGTACGAAAGTATCCTGAAGTAGTTTTACAGAAGAGTACTTTGATTTTTACTTACATTTGTTTCAAAGCAGCAGGACTTTGAGTTGCATTGCACAGAGCAAAACAATGAATATGGGTTGCAGAGATGGGAGAGCAATTCTGTGAGTCCCAGGAATAAGACAAGAAAAATGTTATGAGACTTTGTCCTGTCTTTAGCACTCTTGTTACATTTTAAACACCTTGGCTACGTCTACACTGGCCCCTTTTCCGAAAGGGGTATGTTAATTTCACAGGTTGTAATAGGGAAATCCGCGGGGGATTTAAATATCCCCCGCGGCATTTAAATAAAAATATCCGCCGCTTTTTTCCGGCTTTTAGAAAAGCCGGAAAAGAGCGTCTACTAAAATGCAGTGAGCACAAACATACAGCTCCAGTGGGCATGACAAAGTGGAGGGGCATCTGCAGCCCTCCTGAGCCTGCTCAGTGCATCCCAGGTGAATAAGGGATTAAAATAAATGTTGAAGCAAATAAAAAGGCCCCTTGCCAGGGCCACTCTGCTTCGCCATTAAAATAAAAATACCCGCCGCTTTTTTCCGGCTTTTAGAAAAGCCGGAAAAGAGCGTCTACACTGGCCCTGATCCTCCGGAAAAGGGCTTTTTTC